GGGAGTTGGTGATGGACAGGGAGGCCTGGCATGCTGCAGTCCATGGGGTCATAAAGAGTCAGACATGACTGAGTGACTGAACTGAACTCAACTCAACTGAATCATCCTGTTCCCTGGTGGCCCAAATGGTAAAGAATCCGCCTGTAATGCAGCAGACCTAGGTTCGATCCCTGGGTTGGGAAGATCCCCTGGAGAAGGGAATGGCTACCACCTCCAGTATTCTTGCCTGGAGAATTCCATGGACAGAGGAGCCCAGTGGGGTCAGAAAGAGTCAGACACAGCTGAATTACTAACACGCACATCTCCAGTTCAGTTCAGTCGCTCAGTCATGTCCGACTCTTTGCGACCCCATGAATCGCAGCATGCCAGGCCTCCCTGTCCATCACAAACTCCTGGAATTTACTCAAACTCATGCCCATTGAGTCGGTGATGCCATCCAGCCATCTCATCCTCTGTCGTCCCCTTCTCTTCCTGCCCCCGATCCCTCCAAGAATCAGGGTCTTTTCCAATGAGTCTACTCTTCGCATGAGGTGGCCAAAGTATTGGAGTTTCAGCTTCAGCATCAGTCCTTCCAATAAACACCCAGGACTGATCTCCTTCAGGCTAGTGATATCTAGTCTTACCTTTATTTCCCTATAGAACCAATAAGCTTTTTGCTTCAACTAAAACATTTGAGCTCTGGATAGTCTAGCTCATTTCTACTGCTATGTCTTTTCTAATTTTTTGTCCCCATACTGTTATTATTCTAAGTACACTGGTTTGAGTTTTCTGTGCAATAGAACTTTTCTGAGAACAAAGAGAAGGCTAGGGAATATATGACAACACACCTAACACATTGCTGAAAAACTCTGGAGGAGTCAGTGCTCTTCATTAAAGGGGGAAGAAAACTCTACAAGATTGATAAAGGGTGTTAACAGTATCAGCAGATAGGACCTGCTTCTAGATGACTGAGTACATTCCTTCCTCAAATTTCACTGCTATGGCAAAATCATAAGAAAAGAATGACATTATATTAATAAACACAACAAATAAATACATTTACAACAAAGTAATTTATAATCAAAGTAATTGCTTAGAATTGATAATGAAAGACACAGTAATCTCTTGGTGCCCCAAATAATAAACACAGTTTGTGAAAGAAAAGTAGGTTAATATACTGAACATTCATTTAGGGAAGAGAGCTAAGCTATTTGTCCCAAGAAAATATGAAAGTCCATTTACACTAAATTCTAGTGCCACTCTGCATATGAACCAGACTCTTGTGTCATAAGGCAAACTGATGTAGGAGGAAATTTCCAAGTCCTCAATTCAGAGCTAAAGGTTTAACATGGGAAAGGTGGGGACAGTGTAAAGAATGAGGAGAAATAAGAGGAAAAATATGATCATATTATACTGAGCACTTATCAAGCTTAAAAAAAATCCTTTCCTAATTCAATTCGCATATAAAGTTAATTTGGCCCAATAAAAGTGGTATTAATCAAGCAGTTTCATCAAGTATCAAGAGCTTCCTTCATAACAGATGTCACAGCTTGAACTGCGTCTCTCAGGGAGATACGCTGAAGTCCTAACTCCTGGTACCTGTGCCCTGCGCACTTTATAAGGTCTTTGGGAATGCACGCGTGTTAAGATGTGGTCATTAGGATGGGCCTAACCCAATGTGCCTGACGTCCTTACAATGAGAAGAGACATAGACAGACACAGGGCACACACCGTGTAACCACACGGGCGGAGCGTGGAGTGATGCAGCTGCGTAACAAGGAACGCCTGGGCTGGGAGATCACCACCACCAGATGCTGGGAAGAGGCACAGAAGGATCTGACCCAGAGTCGCAGAGGGAGCAGAGGCCCTGCTGACACCCTGACTTGAGACTTTCGGCCTCTAGAACCAGGAGAGAATGGATTTCTGGCTGAGCCGCACAGTTTATGACACTTGGCTACAGCTTACTTAGGAACCTAAGACCATAGCCCAAGATTGGAAACAACCAAGGTGACCTCTAATAGGTGAATATACAAAATGTGGTACATCAACACAATGGAATATTATCCAGGGATAAAAAGAAATGAGGTATTCAAGTCACAGAACATCGTGGAGAACCCTTCAATGAAGATAGCTGCTTGAAAGAAGCTAGTATGAAAAGGTTACCCATTTTATGATTCTGATTATATACCATCCTGTAAAAGACAAAACTATGGAGACAGTAAGATCCCCTGGAGAAGGGAATGGCAACCCACTCCTGTATTCTTGCCTAGAGAATCCCACGGACAGAGGAGCCTGGCAGGCTACAGTCCATGGGGTCAAAAGAATAGGACAGGACTGAAGTGACTTAGCAGCCACGCACATAGCAACAGTAAAATGATCAGACACTGCCCAGAGGGTGAGAACAGAAAAGAAGGGTGAGAAAGGACTTACAGAGTAGTAAGACTGTTCTGTATTATATTGCAATGGAGCATTTAAAAACCTAGAGAATTTCAGAGCAAGAAGAGTGAACTCTATTGTATGCAATGATCCCAGGAAAGAACGTTGATCAGGACACACACACAAAATGTATAAAACAATCACACAGAAGGGGATGGGGGAAAGGTGCTATCCAAAGGAAACAAGTGGGGCTTCTCAGATGTCTCAGTTGTATAGAATCCGCCTGTCAATGCAGGGGTCGCACAAGACACAGGTTCGATCCCCGGGTTGGGAAGATCCCCTGGAGTAGCAAATGGCAACTCACTCCAGTATTCTTTCCTGGAAAATCCCGTGGACAGAGGAGCCTGGTGGGCTACAGTCTATGATTACAGAGGGTTGGACACTACTGAGCATGCATGCAAGAAACAAGCAAGTGCCAAAATAAAAACAGAAGCCAACTCAACATTTTAAACCAATTATCCTCCAATTAAATTTTTTTAAAAAAGAATAAAAACAAAAGGAAAGGCACATAAATAGTACACTCAATTTGATAAAGGTATTTCTACAGGATTGTGGGTTAAAAATTTGACATTGGTGGGGTGTGTGTGTGTGTTAGTACCTCAGTCGTGTCTGACTCATTGTGACCCCATGGACTGTTAACCCAGCAGGCGACTCTGTGCATGGGATTCTCCAGGCAAGAATACTGGAGTGGGTTGCCATTTCATTCTCCAGGGGATCTTCCTGACCCAGGGATCGAACCTGGGCCTCCTGCATTGTAGGGAGATTCTTTACCATCTGAGCCACCAGGGAAGCCCATACTAA